AAGGTTTTTTTTTTCTATTCTGTGGATATTGTTGTTCCAGAAAGCTGATTTTGTGTTAGTGTTTGTCAATCTGTAAAGCAATCATTGACAAGGACTATCACTAGGAACACTAGCATTTGCTAGGCACTGTCGGCATTGGCATCGGCTGCAGCACTGATCAACAAGGATGCCAAGACGCCATTGCTGGGGCATGCCAGGTTGGGTACCTGCCAGACAGCATCAGACAGCTGACGTGTTTCGTTTGAGTTTCGATTGAAACGGCTATGAAGTGGACTGGCAACACCTGTTCAATGACGTTGTTTCAGATGTTTCAGATGTGTTCAGATCGATTGGCACCGTACTTGGCAAAGTTGAACCAGACTGATTCCAGGATGGAACAGCTGGATGCGTTCAAACTTGCCAAGACCAAGCCAGCGTGTCCAAGGGCATTTGTCGATCAAAATGTCAAGAGGCCGGGCGTTGGTGTGCAGTAGAATGATAGCCATATACTCAAAGATCCTGATCACTACTCCAAGATTCTACCTGGAAGCAAGGCAGCATGAGCAGTGGTTGGGTAGGGTCCTTGTGGAGTGTGAAAGCGGTGTTAACGGTGGGTCTTGGTGCCTTTTTCTTAAGATTTTGATCCCGCCCTCCCTCCCTGAGCCCCTGTGCGGGGGGATGGGGGGGAGGGTCTAGGTAGGGACGTGCCCTCTTCCCTTGGTTGTTCAACGAGTGTAGGGGTGTGATGGTTTCAGATTTTGTCTAACCATAATGCAGATGTGTGTGTGTGTGATTTTGGTCCTAGCCATTTGACGATTACCCATTGTTATACCATAACAATGACTGTTCAGATAGCCATGTTAGTGGACTGGCTGCCGTGTGACCCTTGAGCACCTCATTGGTAGAAAGGAGAAACCTCACTGGGTTGCAGCACTTTCTTGTCGAATGTGATCATTGACTCATTTAGTTAGCACTGGCAGCCTGGGAGCAATCCGGAATCGGCTTGTTATACTACTGCTCTTGGCCCCATGTCACACCACCTGGTGCGACTTTTTGCAACCCCCCTCATCAGAGTATGTTGAGGTGATATTGCTGTCAAGTGCATAAATGTCAGTATTCGTGCCTCTGAGCGAAGAATCGAGGAAAAAAACTGAAATTCCTTTAGCAAGACAGAACACGAGTTGTTTCTTGAACCGTCCCTCATGTGAGGTTTGCCATGATGCGGCTGCCAGCTTCTCCCAGGCGGCGCTGTCAAGACATGTGAAGACATGTCAAGACTACATCATGATCATTTTGAACCTGATGGATTTCCTGTCGTTTTTTGTCGTCATTTTTGGCTGGTTCAGTTCAGGCCATCATGACGGTGAGTAATATTATGCCTTCTGCCGCTGCCATACCGGAATACCAGAAACCCGGTATACCGTATACCGGCATATTATGCCATTGTATGCCATTGTACAACTTGTACGTTTCAAACATGTTCAAAGATGTTCTCATCATTTCTCACCAACCTGTAAGCTCCCAAAAAAGTTTGTGCTGTCGTGTCGCCGTCTTGTTGCCTACGCCTTGGACAGGTCTGTGATCTCCTACAGCCACCTTTGGGAACCATTGGAACGATATGCCCCGTAGAATGTGCTGGGACCGCACCTGATACTTGCATCTTGGCAGAAATCTTGAAAATGAGGTTTCACACAAAAGGTCAGGTGAGACAGTAGATTTATGATATCCCCTCAACTACATAAGGTCCAGAGTACCCAGACCCCCAGGTCTCACAGGCCCAGGGTCTAGAGTACTTCCTAGAGCACTGTAGACCCTCCGCATTTAAGGTACTATAGACCCTTGAGCGTGTCTATGTTGGACATGATATATGGATGTCCCGAATTTTCAACTTTGAAGATGTAAGGCAGATCTTGTTTTTTCAAAGGTCTGTACAGCTTTTCTGGCAATCATCAGGACAGGTGTGTTTTGCTGACCATTGTAACTCTAGACCTTTGCCAAGCTAGATTCCCCAGTTCTTACAGAGGTCTGGACAGCGTTTCTGGCACTGATCAAGACAGGTTTGTTTTGCTGACCATTGTAGCCCTAGACCTTTGCCAAGCTAGATTCCAAAGTTTGTCCAAAGGTCTGGACAGCGTTTCTGGCCTTGATCAACACAGATTGGTTTTGCTGGCCATTGTGTTTCTAGACCTTTGCCACGCTAGATTCCCCAGGTCGTACAAAGGTCTGGACAGCCTTTCTGGCACTGATCAAGACTGTTTTTTTTGACCAACCATGTTAGGTCGAGTCCTTTGCACAACTAGATTTCCAATGCATTTTATTTGTAGACTTTTGCACCCATAGATTTCCAATGACCCCCAAAAGTCTGGATAGCCTCTCCGGCACTGAGCAAGACTGGTTTTTTTGACCAACCATGTTTTAAAACATTCAGTGGTTCACTTTCAAGTTATTGGAATGAAATTTTATTTTTTATTTATTTATTTTTTTGGTCAAAATATGTTCAAAAAACTAATTTCTATCCATCAGTTTATGTCCACAATCAGTTTTAAAACATTCAGTGGTTCACTTTCAAGGTATTGGAATGTTTTTTTTTTAAATGTCAAAATATGTTCAAAAAACTAATTTCTATCCATCAGTTTATGTCCACAATCAGTTTTAAAACATTCAGTGGTTCACTTTCAAGGTATTGGAATGTTTTTTTTTTAAATGTCAAAATATGTTCAAAAAACTAATTTCTATCCATCAGTTTATGTCCACAATCAGTTTTAAAACATTCAGTGGTTCACTTTCAAGGTATTGGAATGTTTTTTTTTTAAATGTCAAAATATGTTCAAAAAACTAATTTCTATCCATCAGTTTATGTCCACAATCAGTTTTAAAACATTCAGTGGTTCACTTTCAAGGTATTGGAATGAATTGTTTTTTTTCTTTTATTTTTCAAAGATATTTTTGTCAAAATATGTGTGCATACGTGGGTTGGTTGACTTCAGATAGACTGCCTCGCACATCCGTGCTGGATTTGATTTCGAATCTTTGGGCAGCCACCCAATTTGCACTGGTGAAAAACGTGTGACAGCAGCGAAGAAAAAAATGAGCGAGAGAAAACATGTTGTTTGGAACATTTTTTTGGTATTTTTGACGCATGGGTAAACGTCTTCAGACCTTCAGCATCTGTAAGGTCCAAGGGTCTAGACCATTGAGATTGTTTTACGTGATTTAGCTATGTAACTCTTCTTCAGACCCCGTTTTTAGGGTCTACAGTGTAATATCCAGGGTCCCTGCCAGGTAGCTGATGGTATTTTATGATGATTTATGTAGATTTAGTAGACTCAGTAGATCTGACCTGGAAAAGTTACTGTACCGTGTGAGCACGTCACATTGGGACAATTTGCTCAACGCCGTATCTTCCACACGTTGGAAATCCAAAGGAAGTGCTGCAGATGGCAACATTGCTCTTCCAAGAAGGCCCAGAAAGACTTAGACTTGGGGCCATGTGAATCCTTTGAGCATCTTCAGAAATCATCCAAGATTCCAAGTGATCAGGTGATAAAAATGGTGAAGCATTGGGCGTAGACTGGGTACCGTGTAGACTGTGTAGACTTTGTCCTCTCGGCCACGCCCAGTGACAGGCTCCAAATTGCCGCGGCGCTCCGACGTTCGAAACTGGTCAGCATGGACTTCCCTTTTCACACATTTCGTTGGCGAAGCCGGTGACATTTTCTGCCTAAATCGACCTTTGCGTTGGCAAAGTTACAGCTACGCACTCTTCTAATTTCTAATTTGATTCCCAGCACCGCTCTTTTGGAAAGTACGCTGTGTTTTGTCGTTTTTCAGTTCGGCTGTCAAGGCTATGGTGCCATTTTGTCCACATCCAACAGCACTGTAGGCGGACTGCGACAAGATGTCTCAAGATGTTTCAAGATGTTTCAAGATATTTCAATATGATATTAATGTTATGCTGCAGTTGCAGCTGAGTTCTTGAGGACATAAAAATTGTGACAGGTACATCTGCCGTGATTTTCTACAACACATCAGCGCCACATGCAGTGCCGGCTTTTCTGAATCTGTTCCTTTGAAGAATGGAAACGCTGCAGGTGTTTTCAGCCTTTGAGATGAGATGCTTTGGAACTAAGGCTTTCAAGAGGTCTCCAGCAGTTGCTAGATGAATGAAATGCCTTATTTGCAGAACATCTAGAGTCACTCTCAGCTTAGTTTCGTCCAAGGTGCTGAGGTGTGATGCAGATACCTCCATGTATCTTCCAAATTTCCATGTATCTTCTATACTTTTATACTATGTCTGTATATTGTATATTGTGTATAAGCATCCATGTGAAGATTTGGAATTTTAATGATTTTCATCCAAATTCTTTGCGTCCAGGCGCTCCAAAGGCTCCATCAAGGTCACGTCGCATCCCGTGACCCGCTCCAGGCGCAGAGTCCGTCCCGAAGGGTCCCCGAAGGGTCTGTGAAGGGTCCCCGAAGGGTCTCGGAGTGCTCACACTGGCCGTGTATCTCCACGTGTACTCCACGTGTCGTCGAAGCACAACGACTTCGAAGCACACCGGACCGACCCGGACCGACCCGCCAGGTTCGAAGAGTTGAACCAGGTGGTCAGTGCAAAGCTAAGCAAATGATTGAAATCATGAAATTTCAATAACTTTCATCAATTTTCATCCTCGATTTTCATCTTCCAATGTCTTCCAATGTCACCGTGTTTTGACCGATGCAAGTTGATCCAGGTGCCGTCGTAGACTTGACCTCGACGTTCGTCACTTCACTGCATCACAGATACGAAGGTTCAAAGCAGACGCAAACGAGACACAAATGATTGTTTGATATTTTGATGATTGTTTGATGATTATTTGTTTCTCCAGATTTTATCCAAAATAAGTAAGATAAGTCATAAGCTTTTCTTGGCTTCAACAGCACCTTCTTTTTGGTTGCAAGTCAACATCTTAGAAAGCCTTAGCCACTTTGCCCGCTTCCGCTTCCGCAGCTTATTGAATGAGACATCGGGCGGGTCTTAGAAATCCGCGTTTGGACGTCCTGGAATTGAGAAAAATCCTGCGCGGCTTGGCTGGACCAAAAGTGGATATCCGTGAGGTGACAAAGAGTAGTGCTAGTCACATCTAGTCATCATGCAGATTTCTAGTGTCGCTGACTGTAGTGCTTCCATAATGTGGACCTTTGGCATTTCTAGTGTCGCAATAGAATGGAAAGGGTAGCTTCAGAGTCGACTGCGAAAGGGATGTCGGACTAGGTCGGTGATGGTCGACTAACAAACTGATGACCAGTCATGTGATGCACTTTATGTGATGCTTTTTCTTGACAAGTTTCAACTGGCGATGAACCCACAATCTTAGTAGCTTGAAATAGGCATGCTTCTCCCACCAAGTCCGTCTAAGCAGTTGTTTCATGTTGTTTCTGACCTGACACAATTCCTAAGGGGTGCTTCTTGGCACCGTGACTTGGCGGCAGAGCCGGATATCAGACTTATTCTTTCAAACATTTTCAAACAGAATACTGCGGCTCTGTTAGGAGCCGCCAACTTCGACCTCGCATTCTGCGGATCAGGCTACCACAGAGAAGGGTTATAACAGGTACTAGTATGACCAGCGCTTGTGCCATGCCCTGGTGGGGCTTGACTGGGGATGTCCACTCTCTAAAAACGTGGCCAAAGTGCTGCGACCGAAATGCGCATTTGGTTCTCAGACTTCAATGATCTTCAAGGAAAGAGTCTGACACAGGGGATCTTTACCCCTTAGAAAGTAGTAACGTCACTGTTTACTCCCCGAGTCCAAGTGAGCAACTGTGGGGCGTGGTGAACGTGCTGCGGGCGATCATCCATCGTAGATAAATGACAGGTATGACACAATCAACTTTCAGTTGTAAGGATCAAATTATATATATATATTATATTTATATACATATATGCAGAATTATGCAGAAATGTTGGGTGTTGAACATTTTTCGGATTGTTGGACAGCTGCTACTGGATATGCTATGTGGAAGTGTGGACAGGCGAAGTGTTCACCAGTGACGCTAAGGATGTTTATACGATGTGTTTACCTCAAGCGGAAGCTGGTCCACACCTTGGACCTAAGGCGCTCAATGTGTACAATTCCGTGGAATCCCCCGTGTCCGTGTCTGTTTGGTAATCCCGCAGTAACTTTAGTACGTTGAGCTTTCAGCAAGTTGTTGGAACATTTAGTCTCTTCTTCTCAATGTCATGGATTTTTGGGGTGTGATTCTGACCTCCCGTGTACAATCGATGAGGCAGACTATTCCGTGGCTGGGTGGTTGTTGACGGTGGATCTGTAGCTTTGTGCCGTTTTTGCCCACATGCATTCTGCGAGAAGAGCTTCCCCAGGGAATTTCGCTGAAAGAAGTTTCTCAGTTTCTCCCTTTTCTGGAAGGCATTTGTTCCGCTTTTTGTTTGCAGGTTTGAAGTCGGAGAACCTCGCTTTGTGCAAGAACTTGCGCTGCAGAGCGCCTGGCCGCTGGGCGATACAAAATGTAGTGACGTAGTGATCCATTTTGCGCATGTTTAGGCGCTCCTTAGCCGCTACTTCGGTGTGGCAAATGAGGCCATTTGTAGTCTAGAGATGCGTAAAGTAGGAAGCTCAGACTCTGTATATAGAGCCAAGAAACACAAAGCTGCAACGATTTCAATGGGTCCAGTGCTTTGTGTTTTTCTAAAGTTGATGTCATGTCTTGACGATTTGACAATCTTGGTATATCTTGGTGATGATATGCAGAGCGCGGCTCAGCGGAGTCGGGTGGAGGGTGGAGTCGGGTGGATCCGGTGGATCTCGTCAGGTCCTGCATGTTGGCCTGCCTCAGCTTTTTTTGGCCTTTCGCTATTCTGGAAGCAGTTAGTTTGGTCAACATCGTCAACGAGCTTGGAGGACATGAAAAACAAATGAAACGACACAGTAAACGACACCTAGCCTTCGGTTATGACAGCATCGGTTCATGGAGCTCGGAGGAACAGCCAGGTCGGCAGAAGTTTGTCGTTCGGTCTTATTTTGAACTTCGTCCCTCCATATTTTCGCTTTATAGCTTTCAGCTCTTGCCAGTCCCAAATATCCAGAATTTTTACCTTGGAGATTTTTGCAATAAGACCTTTGCTCTTTGCTAACTTGCAACAATTCGCAAGGAGGAAATGTGGACTGGGTTCGTTACGTCTGGCCTCGTTACTTGGCAGGTTTGATATGATTTTGGTGTGGTTTGTTTTCAATCCAAATTTCCGAAAGGACTTCCCGAGCTGAAGTTTCTTTTGCGGATTGTAATTTTCACAAGGCATGCCCACTTTGTGACTTTGAGTTGAGAGCATTTCCGCGCTTTAAGGAGCACTACAAGTTGGCGCATGTTCTCTTCAAGTCATAGTAGCCTCGGCCCTCACAGCTGATGCTCAGTTGCAATCTGGTGAGTTCCGTTGCAAATTCATACTGCCAAGGGAGCAGTGGGTTACTGGATTCCACTGGATTCCTGCATAGCGACGCTATAAATGATTTAAATGTATGTGAGATTCGACATCAAGACATTGTTTCTCAGACTGCCGGCATCCGACTGCACATTTGTCAGATGTTTGGTCGAAATATGAAGGTATCTTTCTTGGCTGGTTCCTCGAGATGCTTCCAAGTTTTCAAGCGCCTACCGCTTGAGCTGCTTTGGGCACCTCGGTTGCAGAACTTTTCATGAGGCAATTCTCAGAATTAAGATGGACTTTGATGGATTTAAGGCAAGGTCAATCCAGGTGAATTTGGCAGTTTGACTGTTCTTATTTGTTCTTTCATATAGATCAAACATGATCAAACAAAGTTATTCACATTCAACTATTTTTATCACGCCACCAAACCTCACCGTTGCATTGTTGCTGCACAACACCCTGCATTGCATTGCCGCAACTGTACAGTCTTGCGCCGTATGAACTTAGTTTGAAGATGTTTGAAGCACCCTATTCATTAAATTGATTCCCGTGGCTTCGCAGGCGGCTATTGCCATTCTGGCCTTTGTTCTCCTGTGGACCTCACGCCCAGATCCGGACAGCCCCCTTACAAAACCTGTCGTACTGATGATGGTGTGCTGTCTACCTGAGTCTACGTGAGTCTACCTAGCTCATTCATGTTATATCGGATCCGTCCACTTTCTGCCTTAGCTTTGCTCAAGTTGGACCCTTTCCAAGTTGGATCTGCAGTGACTGCAGGAGTTAAGTCCCACAAAGCAGAGCTGGTCGATGCTCTTGATTTCTCTTGTGCACAGCCCGGAAACAACGGAAACGGAACTAAGAAATACTAAGAACATCCAAGAATGGAACTGAGCGGCAGAGCCATCTTGTCAAAGCCATGAGAGGAAATGGGCTGTAATTCCTTGAATATCTTGAATCTGATCACACTAATCAATTTCAAATAGTGTGGCTACAGCTTTGGCGTGGAATGGAACTTGGAAAGTCTGAACATTTTTTCGAAGACCAAGACGTTTTGACGTTTTTTTGTGGATGAAGCAGCTGATCAAAATTGGTGCCACATCCTGAAAACTGCCGAGATCAGGTGATTTTTTGCTTGCCTTTGCGCTTTCACATATCATGGTGTCAGCCTGAGATGCTCAAATTGTGAGGATACATGATGGATGCCTGAATAGAGAGTGAGGGACAGATACAGTAGCGGAAACAAAAAAGAGCGCTGAAGAGATTCTATCCAATTGAGAGGATTACAGTGCTGCCATTTTGTCACATTTGGCTTCTCATGCTGAGCTATGTCAGTCTGAAGGACTGAAGGACAAGATGGGCTGCACAAGAACGAAAACTAAAACCTTCGACACCGCAGCTGTCGCACAGCTGTCGCACAGCTGTCGCACAGCTGTCGCACGGCCTACACTAGCGTAGACCAGCTTTTGCATGTTGTTAACTGTTGTTACACATGTCACCAGGTTCGTTTTCCTGGTGGCGATCATCATGCTGCCTTTTGACTCGACCATTGCCTCGCCTGACTCGTATTTGTGCCTTGAATGATACAAGCTGTGTCTGACTTTTGCGCCGCAATCACATGGTCATGGCCATGTGCTGTGGTGACAATGCATGTAGATGAGATGTGACAATGAACGGCAGTGCTCTGTAATTTGCCCCAAAATTGCATATGTGTAGATCCTTGTTGTGACTGCATCTCGGTGAAGAGTTGGGGAGACAGTCGAATGAAGAACAACATAAAGGAGCAGACAATGTGCTGCTGACATGGATGTTTGTTTTCCAAGTTGTCATGGAATCTTTATCCTTCCCTGGTATGGGTCTGTTCTGTGATGCTTCAAGTTTGCATGTTTCCGGTCCTTTACTGACCATAGTTTCTTTGACCCCGACTCCTGTTCGATTCGTACCAAGTAATTTGATGTGCATATTTCTCACTTGCTTGTCTTGCTGGACTTGTTCGTTGAATGTTCATTTTCTCCTGGCAAAGTGCTGGGCACTTAGGCTTGGCTTCACAATCCTTTGTGCCTGCAGACTTTCATGGATCAATGTTTGGGGCCCCAAGTAGACGCCTGTTGTAAGACATTGTAAGACGTGCAAAATAAAAGGCGCAAGTTGAACACCCAACTAGAGCCTCATGTGTTTATATTCAGAAGAGACCAGAGCACATCAACAGATTGCCTGCTTGTACCAATTGTCAAGTGAAATTGGAGAGGTTAGATGTACTGTTTGCAAAAGGTGTCGTGTACTCAAACGCACGGACTGTTTTTTGCTTTCTGAGAGAAATCACAGTATCCATGCCGAGCCTTTTGCAATTCTTAAGTGCGCTTAAAGCTGAACCCGCTCTGCATAGTCTCCGTTGTGCCCTCATAGTATGTTTTCTGGAAACTTCCTCTTCAATGGAACTTTCTGAACAGAAATCAGAATGAGCACAGTCTGGAAGCCTCCTGAAGGTTTCTCAGTGTAGTTGTTACTGGCTTTCGTGCAATGGATTTGATTGAACTTATACAGAGTTGGATAGAATTTGGAAAAGATGGAATCTGATGAGAAGTGATTAAAGATCGGCAGACTGGAGATCCTTTGGATCAAGACACGTTGAGTTCCATAGACTTCGGAATCATTTGTCAAAACGCACCGCTTCTATCCGCTGCAGGAGAGAGTCTTGCGGCGCCTGTTTGAGATAGATCCGCCTCTCCCCTGCTTTGTTCCTACGATCAATTCCGCAGACGGACACTTGGCAGACTTGGCAGCTGATACTCGTATGCTCACAACCACGAGGCAACCACAAGGTGAAAGAGGGATGAAGAGAGTAGAAACATGGCAGAAACATGATCCCTATAATCAGTATAGACTCAGTATGACTCAGTATAGAAGAATATCAAGAACTTTTGCCAAGCCTGACAAAAGTTCTCAGACCAATATTAGCTTTTTTCCCGAGAGCGCCTGAGCGTAGGGTTCTTCCAAAAAAAGAAGCTGAGACAATAAGTCTTCATTACATCTTCACATCGTCACATCTTACGTCTTTCTTTCTTTCTTTCTTTCTTTCTCTCTTTCTTTCTTTCTTTCTCTCTCTTCTCTCCTCTTCTCTTCTCTTCTCTTGTCTTGTCTTCTCTTCTCCTCTCTCTCTCTCTCTTTTCTCTCTTTCTCTCTTTCTCTCTTTCTCTCCTTCTCTCCTTCTCTCTCTCTCTCTCTGTCTCTGTCTCTGTCTCTCTCTCTTCTCTCGTCTGCTAATTTCTCTTCTCTCTTAAGGCGGGGGCGGTGGGCACGAACGATCACGAAACGCGACAGTCTCGCACGAAATGAGGTTCGATCGTCAAAAACTGCGGTAAAATTGCGATTTTGAGGGTTCTGGCGCAACCCTTTCGCACGAAATGGGGTTGATCGTCAAAAACTGAGGTAAAATTGCGGGTTTGATGGTAGACATGTGATGAAAATGTCTTATTGTGTTGCGGAACCCTAGGTTTTGAAAGCGAGTTCCCAAGCATAATACGACAGTTGTGCGTGTGAAAGCGTTTGTGTGTAAAAGTGTCTGTGTGCAAAGGAGTCTGTGTGTAAAAGCGTCTGTGTGTAAAAGTGTCTGTGTGTAAAAGTGTCTGTGTGCAAAGGAGTCTGTGTGTAAAAGTGTCTGTGTGCAAAGGAGTCTGTGTGTAAAAGCGTCTGTGTGTAAAAGTGTCTGTGTGCAAAGGAGTCTGTGTGTAAAAGTGTCTGTGTGCAAAGGAGTCTGTGTGTAAAAGTGTCTGTGTGTAAAAGTGTCTGTGTGCAAAGGTGTCTGTGTGTAAAAGTGTCTGTGTGCAAAGGAGTCTGTGTGTAAAAGCGTCTGTGTGTAAAAGTGTCTGTGTGCAAAGGAGTCTGTGTGTAAAAGTGTCTGTGTGCAAAGGAGTCTGTGTGTAAAAGCGTCTGTGTGTAAAAGTGTCTGTGTGCAAAGGAGTCTGTGTGTAAAAGTGTCTGTGTGCAAAGGAGTCTGTGTGTAAAAGCGTCTGTGTGTAAAAGTGTCTGTGTGCAAAGGAGTCTGTGTGTAAAAGTGTCTGTGTGCAAAGGAGTCTGTGTGTAAAAGCGTCTGTGTGTAAAAGTGTCTGTGTGCAAAGGAGTCTGTGTGTAAAAGTGTCTGTGTGTAAAGGAGTCTGTGTGTAAAAGCGTCTGTGTGTAAAAGTGTCTGTGTGCAAAGGAGTCTGTGTGTAAAAGTGTCTGTGTGCAAAGGAGTCTGTGTGTAAAAGCGTCTGTGTGTAAAAGTGTCTGTGTGCAAAGGAGTCTGTGTGTAAAAGTGTCTGTGTGCAAAGGAGTCTGTGTGTAAAAGCGTCTGTGTGTAAAAGTGTCGTGTGCAAAGGGTGTTAAAAGTGTCTGTGTGCAAAGGAGTCTGTGTGTAAAAGCGTCTGTGTGTGAAAGTGTCTGTGTGTAAAAGTTTCTGTGTGTAAAGGAGTCTGTGTGTAAAAGCGTCTGTGTGCAAAGGAGTCTGTGTGTAAAAGCTTCTGTGTGTAAAAGTGTCTGTGTGTAAAATGTCTGTGTGTAAAAGTGTCTGTGTGTAAAAGGTCTGTGTGTAAAAGTGTCTGTGTGTAAAAGCGTCTGTGTGTAAAGATGTCTGTGTGTAAAAGTGTCTGTGTGTAAAAGCGTCTGTGTGTAAAGGAGTCTGTGTGTAAAAGTTTCTGTGTGTAAAGGAGTCTGTGTGTAAAAGCGTCTGTGTGCAAAGGAGTCTGTGTGTAAAAGCTTCTGTGTGTAAAAGTCTGTGTGATCTGTGTGTAAAAGTGTCTGTGTGTAAAAGTCTGTGTGTAAAAGCGTCTGTTGTAAAATGTCTGTGTGCAAAGGGTCTGTGTGTAAAAGTGTCTGTGTGCAAAGGAGTCTGTGTGTAAAAGCGTCTGTGTGTAAAAGTGTCTGTGTGCAAAGGAGTCTGTGTGTAAAAGTGTCTGTGTGCAAAGGAGTCTGTGTGTAAAAGCGTCTGTGTGTAAAAGTGTCTGTGTGCAAAGGAGTCTGTGTGTAAAAGCGTCTGTGTGTAAAGGAGTCTGTGTGTAAAAGCGTCTGTGTGTAAAAGCGTCCGTGTGTAAAAGTATTTGTGTGTAAATCTGTGTGTAAAAGCGTCTCTGTGCAAAAGCGTCTGTGTGTAAAGGCGTCTGTGTGTAAAAGCGTCTGTGTGTAAAAGCGGCTGTGTTTAAAGGCGTCTGTGTGTAAAAGCATCTGTGTGTAAAAGCGTTTGTGTGTAAAAGCCTTGTGTGTGTAATTAAAAGTGTCTGTGTGTAAAAGCATCTGTGTGTAAAAGCGTTTGTGTGTAAAAGCGTCTGTGTGTAAAAGTGTTTGTGTGTAAATCTGTGTGTAAAAGTGTCTGTGTGTAAAGGAGTCTGAGTGTAAAAGTGTTTGTGTGTAAAAGCGTCTGTGTGTAAAAGTGTCTGTGTGTAAAGGAGTCTGTGTGTAAAAGCGTCTGTGTGTAAAAGTTTCTGTGTGCAAAAGTGTTTGGGTGCAAATCTGTGTGTAAAAGTGTCTGTGTGCAAAGGAGTCTGTGTGTAAAAGCGTCTGTGTGTAAAAGCGTCTGTGTGTAAAAGCGTCTGTGTGTAAAAGCGTCTGTTTGTAAAAGCGTCTGTGTGTAAAAGCGTCTGTGTGTAAAAGTGTCTGTGTGTAAAGGAGTCTGTGTGTAAAAGCGTCTGTGTGTAAAGCGTCTGTTTAAACGCGTCTGTATGTGAAAGCGTCTGTGTGTAAAGGAGCCTGTGTGTAAGCGTCTGTGTGTAAAGGAGCCTGTGTGTAAAAGCGTCTGTGTAACAGCGTCATGTGTGTAAAAGCGTCTGTGTGTAAAAGCGTCTGTGTGTGAAAGAGTCTGTATGTGAAAGCGTCTGTGTGTAAAAATGCTTTGTGTAAAAGCGTCTGTGTGTAAAAACGTCTCTGTGTAAAAGCGCCGTGTTATCCTTTTCTTCTCATCTGACTTTTATACATCTCTTTTATGTTGTCTCGCAATGTATTGTCTTGATACCATTCTTCTCGTCTGCCTATGATACATCTTTAACATATTGTCTTGTAATATATTGTCTTGATATTAGCACTAGAAGAAATTGCTCCTCTACGCTCTCGGGCCATCCGTCGTCTAGTTGATGCTTTTTGGGTGCCTCCCTGCTTCCACGTGCAGGACAAATGCAGGAAAGGATACTGTAGCAGGCCATCAGATAAATTGAATTATATAATAGCGCAACAAGCACTATATTTTGTGTCTCTGATCTCTAGCTCGAAATCAATAGCAAAAATGAGTCTACAATGTAGGATGCATTCGGATCATGCAGATGTTCAGTATTTCAGAGCGTACAATTTGTTGCCCGGGTGAAAAGATCTGGAACCGGTTCACCGGTGATTTGGGAGATGACTGAGATGACTGAGATGACCTCATGGATCCTCCTCATTTGGCGATTCTTTTGCCGGTTGGTTATGAACAGCTCCCAACTGTGCAAGGATGGATTGGGAGCAGCTCACCCGCCAAGCAGGCCAGAGAGGCCATAGGGTCCACATGGGTCCACTGCAAGCGGAAAGGAGTAAACTGAGTAAACGTAGCTGGAACAAACATGAGGAGCAAATTGCTTTTGCAAATCACAATAAGGAAGTCATTGGGTTTGTGATTGGGTTTGTGAGGGTAAACATCGAAGCTGTGACTCATCTGTTTCCTGAAGGAGATGGGCATGTCGATGGGCTCTCTAGGCAGAGGTGTTAAGGACGGTTTCTGCTGTCAGTGTTTGCCAATTCAAAACGCGCCATGAAATTTAGCAATCCCCACAGCTGGTCAGGAAAGGAACAATCGGGGAAGCAAAGGCAGTCAGACATGTCAAGGTTCCTTGGCACAAGTTCAAGTCGATGCAAAATGCATTTGCACCATCAGTGATCGTCATCCTTCAACCCAAAATGATTGTTCTGGACAGACCCGTGTTGCATGTTGGCCGAATATTTTTATTCTTGTTGTTCCCGGAGGTTCTCTCGGCATACCAGTGAAATCCCGTGATTGTGTTTGCAACACTGCAGGTTATGATGTGGAGAAAATGTTGTCAAGGCTGGCTCCTAGTCGCTGATTGAAGCGATTGAACTGTAACAAGGCCAAGAAGACAGAATCAACACCGAAGACTCAGATATTCATGGCCAAAGGCTTCATTTTCCGTGGCCTTGCGACAATACTGTAAAACACTGACAATCTTTGTGAAGCCTGTCCCAAGCAGTGAATTTGCATAGATTCCTGAAATTGAACTTGTGACAGCACTGGTTTGTGCTCAGGGATAGCGGTGGTGTGGAGGCTGGGGTGGGCAAATGTACATGCAAACGTCCAGTGGAAATTGAGCCAGAAACAACAGCATGTGTTTTTTTGCCCTTAAACGGATATTAAGTAGTGTGCGAGCCGTTTTTCAATTCCTTCGGTGCCACTTATGCTCCTCCTTCAGGACACATTCCCTGTGCGAAATATAGATCGCCCCTGGGCGATGAAATCATGCAGCCATGTCGAAGCAAAGCTGTGCCGCTCCTTTAGACATTATCACAGACTACACAGATTACAGGCTTCAAAAACTTGCAGAGGCCTTAATTGGAGTCTGGCATCAATGTTACGAATTTACAGAATTTACGGGAGTCACGGAAGAGTGTTTTCTTTCCTTTTCCCAAGACAAAGGCCACCAAGTCGGTACCGAGGGAACCATGGAAACTGTGCGCAGCCAAGGATCCGATAAGCATCGTTGTATGATTCTGCCTTTGCGGGAGGACAGTACAGAAAGTACAAAATGAATTCAGGATGAATTCAGGATGAATTCAGGATACCACAGAACAAGTGATTACAGCGGAATGCAGCGGACAGTTTTCTTTGTGACAGCAAGTGACACTACACGACACAGCACAGGACTTCACCATCCGAGAGGTGCCTGCGAAGATGTACAGCTATAGTAGCCCTATAGTAAGTCTATAGCCAGTATAGCCTGTACAGCTGTCCGTGGTTTTTTCTTGTTCTACATGTCTGACATGTCTGACATGTCTGATGTGGGTTTGCACAGGTGTCAGAAGACGTTCGCCTTCAAATTGGCTACGACATTCAAGGAGACCATGAAAGCAGTGCCTTTTACAGTGTGCAAGTCAGACCACATCCACATCAAAAAGTAGCGATGTTTGACATCAATGATGTTTGACATTTGAATTAACGTACACTGTATGATCTGTATGTAGCATGCTGCAGTGCTGGTAATGCTACATCAGTTCAACTTCAGCGTGTGATCCTGTGATCCTCATCACAGATCATGACAGCATCCGACAGCGCCAGGAAAGCACCTCGCAACGATCCTGAATCCCCACTCCTTCGATGATATTGACTTTCAAAGTGAGGTGGGTCTCGCTTTGGCAATTTCCCAGTTTCTACCGACAGGTTTGTAGTGATCTTTTTCGATGGTAGTAGGGGAAACGGAGGCCTCATTTTCGATTGGTCGATGTTTGCAGGAAATGATGCTTTGGTGCAGTTGAGACAACTAGGCTTAGTGACTTTCTACAATGTTTTTGTTCGAAGATGTGTGTGTGTGTGTGTGGGGTTCACCCGGTGCATGCTCAGTTAGTCTTACAAGAAAGTCACACACACACATAAACACCCAGGTGATGACAGAAAGCATGGCAAAGCCACATCCCTTTACGTATCAGAGTTAAATTGTCCCCTTGCCTATCCAAGCATTCAAGATTCAAGATGGCCACACTGTCGCTGCAGGCTATGTACCAAGTATCAGATGTGGTCGTTTGTTTCGCAAGTGGACCAAGTCCTGCAAAACTTTGTCCAGTGCTCAGCTGTTGGTGTCTCTCGTAGCAATGACACAATCCAGGCATAGTGACAAAAAGATGCAAAAAGAACATGAAACAAAGAGAGACACGAGAGACACGAGAGACGCTCTTGTGGCACCGAGGCATGCTTCGTACTGACTTGCCGGATCCGGCCTTCTTTGCCATGATCACACCCTTTAGTGAGGCTTTGAATGCTGTGCAGGATACTTGGAACTAATACCACGGCCCGACCGTCATGAAGTCCAGAAAATCCAGCAACAGAGTCTACGGAGTCTACAGAGTCTACAGAGTCTACGGTCTCCTATTTCAAACAATTTTGCAATTCCTCATTTCTGATCCTATTTTGTGGACACCGGCAGACATGACACATGAAAACATGGTTCACCAGACTCAGACGAATATCAGACTCACTTGTCACTTGAAAGACTCATCACTTGAATTGAAAAACGAAGACGTCGAGTACCGCAGACGTGCAACGTACTCGACGTACGTGCAGTGAGTTCATCAGTCGACGCAGTCAATTTCAGAGTGCAGTGCAGGTACCCTCGCACTCTTCGCCGAGTGTTTTAGGCGATCTCAGTCATGGAAACCAGAGTATGATGAGGCCAGGCGGAAAGCGACCACCAGAGATATAGAACTGATTAACATTGATTAACATATAGAATATGATATATAGAATATATAGTATTATATAGTTATATAGACATATGACATATATATATAGAATATATATAATATTATATAATATATATGATATATCATAAATATGAGATATGATATATGTATATATATATATATATCATTTTATATCATGAGATATCCAGAATCTGGATGAATCATTGATGAATCTAGCCCATTTCTTCATTCGCTTGCCTTTTTGGGCCTGTTTTGTGGTTTTGCTTGCATCAACGGCGCTCGGATAAAAGCTTCTACTGTGGCCAGCCAGCTTGTTTGGGAGACGATAGTCTCGGCATGTTTTTCCCCTGCAAGGATTGCAAGCATCAAGAGCCAACCGGGCAAAACACCATCAAGGAGGGCGTCAGATAGCCGTTTGATCTCCGAGAGCTTGATTTACAGCATCTCGATACATCTCGATCGCGTTTGTTGCGTTTCCTTCGCCAGATTCTAGAGATCAATGAGATTATGTTGACAACATGTTGATCACATTGCGAAACGATTGATCGCCGGATCGCATTGATCTCGGTGTGTTTCGTTTCGGCCCAAGATGAGCAAAGCACGGTTTCAAAGACTGGGAGCCCATTGCTACATTTCACGTCTCCCTATTTCTATTACATCAGTTGCTGTATATAGATCTGCCCACCACTGAGGGATTGCAGGAACATTCCTTTCATTCCAAAGTGGCTTGGTGAGGTAAAGATTCCCACACCGATGGACATAGTGCTGATGGATTTTGGCCGAAGGAACTCAGAGATGTGAACATTCAGAACCTTGGATAAACAGATAGACAGTTCGACAATGTTCCGTGTTCTGTCTTGACTGCCATGGAGCCACATCAAATTGAAGCCTTGAACGGTGTGCTCTTTTGAGGACGGAGGCATCGACTGCTGACAGCGAGTGCCAAACGGATCCCATATACAGCGGCATTGGGGCGTTGTGCAGGCCGGATCCTCAAGAAACATTTAGTGCGCTACACTTTTTGGATCCTTTGGGATTTGTGTCAGCGGATGTTTGACTGCAAAGCGGATAGCGCACCGTCCAAGGCGCTGTCAACGGCCACCAACAATTCCCATGAAGCGCCAGGGGAGCGGGATGTATAGCAGTGGAGGCGACTCAACTGTTTAGACATGTGTGAAGCCTGTGAAGCTGTGTCAGTTTCCGAAATTTTCCATCAGCGCTGTGACACTTGATTTGGCCAGGAGATCCTGTTGACTTCCTCGACACCAGCGAGGCAAGGTCGAAAAACAGCGGCACCGGTTTGAGCTTTCTTTTAGACATTTTCCACTGTAGCGGCCTGTACCTCATAATATGACTCATATTACCGTAATATTACCTCTATGTTTTCACTCGGTTACTGAGACCTGAGTACACTTGAGTCGAACTCGAAAAAATCGAAAAGCTTGCCGCTTGGCGCCGGCGCCGCTTGGCATGTCATAGGTCGAATACTTGGCATGTCGAAATCCTCAGAGCTGTGCTCCGTGGCGAGGCATCCGAGGATTTTGCTGCTCTGAGTCCAGCTGAGGCCGACCACGGTGGATTGTTATCCATGAGGATTCATTGGTGACCCATTGGTGATCCATAACTATAGACTATAGACATCTATAGACATCTATAGACATCTATAGACTAGACTGAGTATGTTCACATCATGTTGTTTTGTACATGGCAATGTATTCACCTTGTTTTCAGATTGTTTCTCATGTCTCTCTTGGTGGTGCTTTCGACTTGCAGATGCCGCTACAGGTTCTTATCCAACGCATCCAAGGATTTTGGGTCTTGCACCAAGGCCTGTCCAAGGTTAGCTGTCAGACAGCTGTCAGACAGCTGTCATTCTGTCAATTTCTGTCAATTTCCACATCTGTTGATCTAAGATCTCTTAGATCAGCTGTGTCTCCGACAGAGCTTGACAGGTCCCAAGAACACAGCTCCATGGCTCCAATCGTTTTTGGTGAGAGGCTCTGAGGCGGAATCGCAGGACACCAAAATTCTGATCATTTCGATGTGCAGTCGATCTCGTTTCGGATGTTTAGGTTTTGGAGACTCGGGGGCACGTGTTTCCGGTGGTTCCATGCGTCATCCACAATCCACATAGAATTCACATGGAATGCACAGGAGGATACTCTAGAGATTCGCACGGAATCTGAGCGGGTCTACATGGCTGGCGGAGAAGCTTGGCTTAAACTTTAACTCAAAATTTTGTAAAAGAAAAAGAGGCACGATTTTTGTGAGGGACACGTTGTAGTGAAGTTGGAGGTGGATGGCTTGAATGAATGCCATTTTGGCTCAAGCATCCACCTCCACCATTGGCTTTGTTTTTCTTTTGCTGCCATGGTGGAGCATGTGGCCACCCGCCAACACCGCTACCATCGATGGTGTTTTGGCCTACTTTGCTTTGCCGGCGTGGCTGTGGGAGGCCTTTTGCACGGCCATGGGAGATCCTGGTGCAGACCTACGGCTCCTTGCAGCTATGCTGGCGGAGATGATCAGCGAAGGGGTGGCCGCGGTGCGAGCAGAAGGGGGCCGGCGACTCACTCCGGTCGAAGCGATTCAACTGGGACTGGTTTACCGAGCCGCCCACAGACTGGTCCACTTGGGTACGGGGGGAAGCCTAAGCAATTGGGTGGACCCGAACCCTTGGGAACCAACTACATCACTGCAGACCTCTATGGCAAGGATGGGGGCTACGTCAACGACACCTTCGAGTACCACCCAGGAAAGGAAAATGAAATTGAGCCAGGTTGCAGATCAAGGAGACGACTCCGAGTTCCCAGTGCTGCCAGAGGCCAACAAAGCGTCTTTCTACGCGAAGTACGTGGAGAAGATGGGGGGCCTACCTGCGGACTCGGAGGACCCGACGATCGAGCAGCTGTCGGCGATCCTGAGGAAGGTCAAAGTGCTGCATCAGCCACCCTACTGCGACTTTGCAGTTTGGGTCCCTTTCGCAAAAAGACACCTGAAGGCCCAGAAGTACCAGTCCTTTGTACTACAAGAAGACGGGACCTTCGAATCGAAGATGGTGCCGGGACCCTCGTGCTTCAGCCACTGGCAGGCATCCTTCAGAGTGTTGAGAACGGCCCTGGTGATGACGAACATCATAAGCCTCTCGAACCTGATGGAGTGGGAAGCGCTGGTGGAGAGGCTTCATCGACAGTATCCTGGGTGCTGGGGCCTGGTGGCAGCTGCAGAAGATCGAGGGCGAGGGGAGTTTATGGGGAAAACCCTGGCCAAGCTGCGGTTGGAGATGGACCAAGGGGCCCCAGCACCCTTGGGATGGCGCCCAGAGGAACCGTGGAACATTGTGTGGGGCAAGGTCCTACGAGACAAAGACTATTGGGCAGAGCAGGTGCACATACCAGCAATCTCGTGGACGGCAAAGGGATCAAAGGGAAAACCGCTGACGCCTATGGAGGAGATGGCGGAAGCGTCGATGCGTGGAGGCCGACAAGCTCTACTACAAGACCCTGGGGAGACGGACATCGAGGGTGGCAAGAGGAAGAACCGAACGAGGAGAGAGGCTCGCAAGAAAAGACTGCGGGCAGAAAAAGAAGAGTTGCAGGGCTACCGGAAAGGTGGCAAAGGTGGAGGAACAAAGGGTTCTGGGGGCCCCACAGGAAAAGGTGGAGCCTCAGACGAGGCGTGCTACGCCTGGAACAACGGGAATGGGCTCTGCGGAGGACTGGCACCAGGGGAGGCCTGCAGAGCAAAGGTGGTGCGCAAACACCAGTGCACCGTCTGCCACTCCCCTGGACACCCTTCGAAAGAATGCCCTTCGAGGAAGAAGTGATCTATCTCCTGAAGTACCTCCTGGTGATCTGCGGTGGGGGAGAAGCTGAAGGTGAAGGGGCAAAAGAACCGAAAGAAGAACCAGAGAGGGTGGCTGTCCCTGGGACCTCCGTCAACAAAGATGTGAGGAAGTATACCAGGCGCCGAGAACTCACTGGGGAGGACCCGGAAGGTGATGACGAGCCGCCCAAGGACAAGATCCACGTGAAGGGAGACTACCTGACGTACGAGGAGTTCCTGAAAGTGCGCAAGTTCATCTTTGTGCACCACTTCTCGGGCCCGGTGGACAAACTGAGCGAAGCGGTGAGGGCAGAAGCAGAGAGGGCGGGCCTGACGGTCGAGACCTTCTCTGCGGACCTGGAGTTGGGGCAGAACTTGATGGATGACGAGCCCTACAAGACGCACAGGCTCGCAGCATCGAAGGGCAAGATCGACGGCTATCACTCCGGGTTCCCCTGCACGACGTTCACGAAACTGAGGTGGAGGCCGTGCCCAGGCATGCCAGGACCGGTGAGGTCGAAGGAGCACCCTTACGGCTTCCCCGACCTGAACGTGCGAGAAGAAGAGGAGTGCAGAGTGGGCACGGTGCTCATGGCCCGCACAACGGTCATGGTGGACGCCATGTACAAGGCGGACAGGTTCATCAAGGTCCCCTGTTTTGCCACGGTGGAGAACCCTCCGCCGTCAGAGGTGGAGTCACACATCTCTGCCTGGCACATGCCAGAGATGGTGGCCCTGGTGGACAAGGTGCCAGACTGGAGGTGCGCTCACTTCAATACCTGTGCTTACCAGTCGAACTTGGAGCCGGGCACACGACACTACAAGCCACAGATGATCGGCGGGAACTTGCCGGGCATCGAGGCGCTGAACAGATCGTGCCAGTGCGGAAACCGCCCACACGAACCCGTTGTGGGAAAGGAGAGGTCGAAAAAGTCGGCCGAGTACCCGGACGAGTTCTGTGCGGCATACGCAGTGCTGGCAGTGCGGCACTTTACAAAGATGGCCCAGGCAGAATTCCTGGAAGGGAGGCTGGTGCTGCTCAACAACCGCATCAACTACCTGAAGGGGGCCACAGCCGACACGGTGCAGGAGGCAGAGGACATTGACGAGAGCTCCAACCAGATCATGGAGGGTGACGACTTCCAGCGGGGCTTAACCATAAAGAGGCTCTTCGTGGAGGTCCAAGATAAAGAAAGGAAAAAGAGAAGGAGGGTGCAGAAGCCTGAAGGAGAACGGCAACAAGAGGAAGCCCGGGAGGAGGGAGAACCTGGAGGAGAGAAAAACTCTCCCCCAGCCGCCGACGTTGCTGATCTACCCAAAGGACCTTCAGCTTCTAGCTCGAGCCAAGTCACCTGGAGCGGGGGACATGGGAAGCACGGCATGCTGAAGGAACCGAAGGGCAAGAACGAAGTGCCCCGTGCATTGGTTTACATAGGGGGCATGAGGGATCCCCACAGATCAGTGTTGAAACTCCCGACAGTGCAATCTTTGGGTGCCAAGATGTGGGAGAGGTGGGAGTCCTTCATCAAAGAGTACCCGAAGGCATTGGACGTAGCAGAGACCTACGGCACGGAGGACTGCCACTACGAACAGGAGATCGTCGAGAAGTGGAGAAGTGAGCTCTGCGAGATGTGGGGCACTCCAGTCCCGGGCGTGGTGCTGACAGAGAGGGGCGAGTACAAGTCGCCGGTGTACCACGAGATGGTGAGGGCCTGGACCAGAAAGTCAGGAGACCCAGACATCCACGTGGCGAACTGGCTGCAACATGGGGCCCCGCTGGGCATAGAGAGGGACATACCCACCGCTGGCATCTTCCCCCCTGCAGAAGAGGCGACGAGTGGGATGGCCGGATGTGCAGACGCGGACGCAGCCCTGGAAAAGCCTGACACCCTCCGCAACTACAAGTCGGTGGAGGACGACCTTCTGGAGGCCAACATCGAGCTGGACAGGTACGAGGGCATGGGCTATTTGAAGCGGATCGACCTCAAGACTGCCGAGGAGAACTACAAGGGAGGCACCGTTAGCCGCTTGGGGCTGGTGGTGAAGACAAAAGAAAACGGCGAGAAGAAGAGGCGCATCGTCATCGATTTGCGCCGGAGTGGAGGGAATGCCAAGAGCACCCTGCCGGAGAGGCTAGTCCTCCCTCGGCTACTGGATGCCATCAAGCTCATAAAGGAGATAAGGAAGAGGGTCACTCCGGTGAGCGACTCAAACGTCGACGCAGAGCTGGAGCTGGCCCTGGTGGACGTGAGCGACGCCTTCACGGTTTTGCCAGTAGCACCGGAGGAGCTCAAGCACACTCTAGCCCCCTCTACGGTGGAAGGAGAGATGCTGGTCTTCCAAGCGTTGCTCTTCGGCTACAAGGTGGCGCCACTACTCTACAGCCGCTTCGCGTCCTGGCTGGCGCGACTGCTGCAGGCCGGGGTCAGGTTGGACAAAGGGGGACATGAAGTTTACCTGGACGACGCCCTTTGGGTGCTGTGCGGGTCACTGAAGGCGAGGAGTACCACCCTGAGCTATGTGCTGAACACCATGGGGGCGCTGGGAGTGAAGGTAGCCTTGAAGAAGGGCTCCAGAGCAAGCAGCGCCACTTGGATTGGGGTCGCCCTGAACCTGGTGGATCGTGACACCCTGGTCGTGGGCCTGCCGACGAAATTCATTGACGAGCTGTCGGGCATCCTCAACAAGTGGGAGAATGCAGGGTATGCTCCCCTGAAAGAGCTGAGGTCCGTCGCAGGGAAGTCGGCCTGGCTAGGGGGAGTGCTGCCCCGTGCAAGGTGGGTGACGAGTGTGTTCTATGCCGTACTCACCCAAACCTTGAAGGAGGAAGAGGAACAAGACAGGTCGTCTTCTGCAACCAGAAACAGAAAGGGGCTATTTGCGGTAAAGAGGCTGGAGCTGGCCCGAAGGTGGATGCTGGCTTTCTTGGCCGCGGCGAAGTTGAGGCCAATGAGGCGCATCACACTCTCGCCGAAGCAGATGGCCGAGGTTCGCATCATCACAGACGCTTCCCCGGAGGCACTGGGTGGCTTGCTGCTCATAAACGGCAAGATCGTGAGGGCATTCTTCAGCACGATGGAGCAGAAACAGACGGATGCCCTCTTGGTCGAGTACAAGTCATCAGCATCCCAAGGCGTCTTGGAAGCCTTGGCGATCCTGGTTGCAATGAGGAGGTGGAGCGAGAAGATCAAGGGCATGACGCTCCAGCTGGCAGTGCAGGGGGACTCCATTACAGCCCTGGCACTGACGCAGAAGCTGTCTGCAAAATCTACGAGCCCTGGACTCAACTTCATAGGGGCGGAACTTGCCATCTGCCTGGAGGAGTTGGCCGTAGAGGAGATCCTCACGCTGCACGTGCCGGGGAAGGCGAACGTCGAAGCTGACTTCCTCTCCAGGCCGAGCACGTGGGGTGACGTGTCCATGCCGGAGGCTCTTAGCGGCGTGGACATCGAGCCTGAAAACGGGCCCAATGACAGCTTCTATCGGCTGCCTACCCCCTTGGAGGCTCCTCCTTGTGGGGAACGAAAGGTGAGGCGGCCGGAGGAGTTGGAATGTGGGAGGCCGTCATCTGAACCCGGCCGGCACTAGCTCGCCTCCTGATGAATCGTCAGAAAAGAGAGGCACAAAAGGCGCCGGCGGGGACGATTTAAGGGTAAGTTGTTTTCTTTGGGCCTCCTCCCAGTGTTTTCCTCCTCCTTTCTCTCCGGTTGGTTAATTAATTTCATATCAATGCCGGGGCACAGGGCTCAAGCATGGTTGACGTAGACGCCCTGGACTTTGCCGGCTGGGACTTGTTCTTCTGGCTAGTCCTCTCCGGCATTCTGGCCCACGGCCTGCTCGCGCTATGGCTCTGCACAACCTGCTGGGGCTCATTCGCGTCATGGGGGAAGACAACGACCAAAATTCCTTCCCCCCGGCGTTCCCGGGTGAAAGCTGGCGAGGAATGGGTTGGGGGCAAATACCAAGTCAACCTACGGTACCGACCCAGCTCGCGGGACACCCAAGGAGGACAAGTGCTGGCGAGCTTGATCAGAAGGGCTTGAAGGAAGCACATGGACTACCTCAACTACCCGTTCCAAGTGGAGCACTATGGCATCTTCCGGGACAAGGCCTTCTACACGGAGACGCAGGAGGAGATCAAAGCTCTGGGAGCATCAACCTGGAAGAGGGAAGCGACGCAGTAACAGACCATGAAGAAAACACCACGTTCAAGACGATGCAGAGATACTGGAATTCGGCCGTGGGGTGGATGAGTCCTTCGAAAAGGAGGCGCACACAGGACCCACCTGCACCACCGAAGAGGCTAGAGCTACCCCGCATCAAACTGCCTGAAAAACAGAAGACGCAGAAGGACAAACTGAACAGAGCGCTGGAATCAGCGCGGGTACTGAAAGAAAGCGGGTTTGCAAAGCCTTCCATCGAGAAAGACTTCTGTGCGGCCTCCTCTTTGGGCTCCAAGAACGCCAAGAAGAAGACGATCAACAAGATACTGGATGCGCTCACTCATCCAGATCCACCCCTACCACTGAATGCGGACCTGCTCAAGGGCTTAGCCTCCGCCCTATCGGACGGGGGTTACAAAGCAGACGAAGGCTACCTGGTGGAAGCCAAACTCTGGCACGTGGAGGAAGGACACCCCTGGTCCGATCAACTGGACCGAGTGTTCAAACAGTGCAAACGAGCCCTAACCAGGGGTCAAGGGCCCAGGAAGAAGGCCAAAGAAGTCTCAAAGGAAGAGAGACTCAAACCGAAAAAGCTGAGTTTCCAGAAAGCTGACAAAGCCGTCAAGTTCGGCAAGGAGCTCTTCGACTTCTGCGTGGTGTGGATGCTGCGGGAGATCGAGCTGGCCGCGCTGAACACAGAGGACCTGGTGACAGACCACATCTCGAAGAGAGTATGCCTGAACCTCAGGCTGAGCAAGATGGACGCAGAAGGAAAAGGGATAAAGAGGACCCTGCAGTGCTTGTGCACAGGCAACAACTGCAGCTCAGAGTGCCCCTACTGGATCTCGGTCAACCTGGTGAACTTGGTGGAGAGGTTCAACGGCACGGGCTCACCTCTGGCGCTGGTGAAGAACAGAGAACTTGCCACCAAGGCCCAAGTCATCAAGACCTGGAGGTGGCTCTATGGCCCAGAAGTATCAGGCCACTCGGGCCGTAGAACGGGAGCACTCAACTACATTAGGTCAGGGTGGGCAATCACGCAAGTGGCTCATCTAGGCCGGTGGAAGTCGAACGCGATTCTGGGCTATGCAGAAGAGGCATTGGAACAGATGCCCACCAACCTCCACCTCCCAGTCCCCACGGTGGACAAGGCGGGGGTCCTGGGCCTCGAAAGCAAGGCGATCACGGAGGAGGACTTCGTGCAGTGGAAGGCACAGCTAAAGAAGGAAATGGAATCCCTCAGAGAAAATATGCAGAAGTCCGAGGAAAATCAATCGGAGCAGATGGACTACTGGGCGAAGCTCTACAAAGAGAACCCAGGGTCAATGCCAAGGAAGATCCAAAACAAGATCAGCAGCATCACCGCCGTTGACGTGGAGAACAGCCTGCGGGTGGAATTACTACGGCAGCAACTTCGTCTTCACAGACCCGGAGATGGAGGTTAGCTGCCAGAAGTGCCGAGGGCTTTGCGCGAAGACGCAGTGAGGCAGCATTTGGCAAAGCCCAATCCTGAGGAAATTCGAAGACCTGACCTGCGGGCCTGGATTTGGTCTGCTTCAGCAGCACTCAAAAAGCAATGTGCCTGTGGGTTGGGCGGTGGCCTTTCACTCGTGTCGTAAAAGAAAAAGAGGCACGATTTTTGTGAGGGACACGTTGTAGTGAAGTTGGAGGTGGATGGCTTGAATGAATGCCATTTTGGCTCAAGCATCCACCTCCACCATTGGCTTTGTTTTTCTTTCCCACCCACCCACACCTGGGTGAGGTTAGAGCGAGGCAGCATTTGGCAAAGCCCAATCCTGAGGAAATTCGAAGACCTGACCTGCGGGCCTGGATTTGGTCTGCTTCAGCAGCACTCAAAAAGCAATGTGCCTGTGGGTTGTGCGGTGGCCTTTCACTCGTGTCGGACCTGAAAACCAAGTGTTGACCACGTGATTTCTCATGAAGGTGACCCTGTGGACTGTTCCAGTTCCGAAGGATCCACAGCTTGGGGTCAAAATCACAAATTCCTGTTGGCTATTGACATCATTGACCCTTGAAAGTCCTTCAATGTCTTGATATCACTCGGACATGGGTGCTGTCATGCGAGTCATGCGGAATAAGGTGCTCTCGTTGGATGAGGACCCGGATGGGGCTTTGGAAGGGCTTGTCTCCGCAAGGGTTTGTTGCAGTGCGTGGCATGATTTCAATATATTTCAATCTTGTGGAATCAAGGGAGAGGGTTTAACATATAGTTTAACCAAGAAATCCTTGCACCAATCATCACAAGCATCTAGAATTCTGACATATTCTGACTTTCATGTTTCACAGGATGGTCTTCTTCATCGATATGGACAGTCAGGGACGCATTTGGTGTACACAAGGCGAGTTTCGCAGAGTTTCTGGCTAAATCTCATTGTGGATCATCCAGCACTTAGCCGTGCGACTGCGGGCTGGAGGAAACAGGTGGACTGAAGCAATGTACAAAGCATATCAAAGCATTGGAACATTCATGATATGATATGATTCATATGATCATGAAACCGTGTGAATCCAAAGTCCACTGCCTTGGGCTCAAACACCATGGCAGTGAAGGACGGATCGGGCCCGCGGCCGTAAGCCCAGAGTGCCAAACGTCACCTTCTGAAGTGACTAGAAACTAGCTCCAAGCCTTGACTTTGCCTGCCCTTCTGCACTGCCAATTTCCATCTAGCTCGCGTCCTCTTGCAGATGGCTTTCGTCCTGCACAGCTCCGGTCAAAGGACCCCCTCGCAAGGCCAAAACACCATGGCACTCCTTCCTCTTGCCGCTTGCCCCTCTTGTCCCCTCTTCTCTGACGCGCCCCCCCTGCTGTCGGCAGGGGTCGGCGGATATATATATATATATATATATTTTTAAAATTTTATTTATTTATTTATTATTTATTTATTATTTATTTATTTATTTATTTATTTTATGTATTTATTTATTTATTGTTTATTTATTTATTTATTTATATATATATATAGGCTGACCCATTTGATACGGCTTGGTGGTTTCAAGCCACGATGATCGCTGTGAAGTCCTTGTTCCTTCCCGAGTTTTTCAGCGCCCTGATCCATGTGGATCAGCCAGGCAAGATGTTCAGACAGAGCTCAACATCTCAGAGCCCAATGGCCTTGGTCTCTTGGCGCAGTTCCGTTGAGGATGTTGAGGTCTTGAGAATCTTTAGTCTTAGACCCTTCCAATGCCTTGAAAGTCAGCAGTCAGACCTTGCTTTGAAGTTGATGACTCAGATGGATTTTTCATATCTTTGATAAAGAAAACAATGAGAACATCGGACGGGAACGTGGCAGACTTATTCCATTAACCTCACCCAAAAGGAACTTGATTGGGCTTCACTCACCGGGTCCATCCATGACAGGGCACCACGTCATATCCGACAAGGGGGTCGTGTCGAAGACGGCTTTTGACACGTCATGAGTGTCAGCATCTGGAGTAAACATAGATTCTATAAATGGTTGATGTTGATGACGGTGGACAGTCCACAGTTGCGGGTCGCAGGTTCTTCCAAGTCCAATGGTGGTAGATGAACAGCTTGGCTCACGAGGACTCACCACGACACGTCAAATCCTGAGGTTCCAAGGTGGAAGCGGAGGACTGGCGATCTGGGGGAAGTTGTTTCCAGATCCACAGGGGACAAAGTATTCACGAGGACGTGTTGGCGCGGTAGGTCGTACTGATTTGACTGGCTTTATCTCGCTTTGTTGGGATCTACATTTTTTGCTATGATATTGTATCATATTGTATCCACCTTGATGATTTCCAAAATTCGTCCTGTTGCGACAAATGAATGCAAATGTCCCTCACTGGGTGACCTCCAAGCATTCCTCAGATTTCGGGTTTCGATCTCAGACCAACCCTATGCAGGCATCATATTTTCCACGCCTTTTCTGCACTAAGATCCCTCTTTTGGCTTAATTTTTGGTTGTCCAAAATGTCGTGCTTTGCTTTCCAGGCAGATGAAACTGACATCGAAAATTGCTGAGATCTCAGACTTGAGGATTCCATGAAATGTTCAGGCTTGAGGATCCATGCTCAATGACATGTGACATTGGGCTTTGAAAGATGCGTTTATCAAATGCGTTTAAATTTGCTTTTGCACTCTGGGTGCTGCCAGTGCATGACAACAATTTGTTAATATTTGTTAGTAGTCGAATGAACCAAGTTCAGGAACGCAAAAGCCGCAATGTCTAGAATCTATACCGTTTTGAGGCGGAGACATCCTGCAGGCTGCGAAAGAAGGCCACGTCGGAGCTTGTCGACGCTTGCTGCAGGTGGACCCCCAGAGCCTGGAGCAAGTCGACGAATATGGCGGACACCTGAGAAGGGATAGGCTTGAAGGTTGAGGAGGTTATAGGTGCGCAGCTGTGACTTCCCAATCCAGTTGAGACTGATTTTTGGTTTTTGAGAGATATTGCTGATATGTGTTTCAGTCGGAACATGATCGACCGACCTGTGCAATTGCGCGTGGTGTCGCCATCATCAGCGGAGCCCTCTGGCTGAGGCGACGGGCCGTTGCACTTCGCGGCTCGGAAAGGCCGCCTGGAGGTGGTCCAGGTGCTGCTGGCCGCCGGCGCCTCCGTCGAGGCGAAGAACGATGCGACAGGACGGACGTGGTGGGAAGGCGGTGCAATAGGCGACATGAAAGAGATGCGACACGACATTGAGTTTGCTGCCAGTTTTGAGAACTTCGTTCCAGGAATCTTCAGTGATCTTTACGTGATTCCATGTTGAGATGTCAACTACCTGTAGACAGCAGTTGCAAGTTTGTGTTGCGGGATGTTGCGGGTATGTCACACTTGACGTTATGACTTGGAGTGGTTCCTGTGGTTGAGTCAAGTTGAGGAGACATTTTGCGGGTCTAGTATTGTAAATTATGGCAGATGGATGCAAATGGAATCTAATGATTTCTTGCTTAGATTGTAGTGTGTTATTGTGAGTCTTTGATCTGGTTTGCAGTGTAATTATGGCACGGCAGAGGTGTGACTTCCCAATCAGTTGATCCTGATTTCGATGGGCAGTGATACATGTCACAAGTAGAAATGGTGGACCAAACTCCACATTTTCGGACCCGAAATCCTCCGAACCAGCTCATGTGACTTGGCGCGTCCCGTCGCCATCTCCAGCGGCGCCTTCCGGACCGAGGCAAGGGGCCGCTGGCCTGGGCGGCTACGGGGGGCCACCCGGAGGTGGTCCAGGCGCTGCTGGCTGCGGGCGCCTCCGTCGAAGCGAAGAATAGCTTCGGCCGCGGCCCCCAGAGACGGGACGGACGCGACAGGACGGACGTTGTGGGAAGGCGCTGCCACGGATTTCAGGATGAAATTCGATGGTGTTCGCCACCTTAGCTGGAGATGAACCTCCAGCAGGTACGAGCCACAGGGTGGACAATTTGAAGGAAATCAGGCACATGAAGTCATGAAGTTGTCCCTGCTGGGATGCACCGCTTCGGAGAGGTGATCTTGCGCATGTGCAACGTTGATCAACCCTGTGGGTGTAAAAGAGCCTGATACATAAGGTTTTATGATGTTTTATCAGACATACAACCAGTTCGGTTTCGCTTTTCGAATTTTCAGCTTTGGAAGGTCTGATCAGGTCGTAGTCCTGGTCTTGGTGATCTTCACAAACACCACAGCAACGATAGTGGCTGCCATTGAGCCAGCTTGCCACACAATTTTGAAAAGGATGAAACTCCATGTTGAGAAGTCAACTACCAGTAGACGGCAGTTGCAAGTTTGTGTTGCGGGTATGTCACACAGTGGTTCGTGTGGTTGAGTCAAGTTTAGAGGACATTTTGCGGGTCTAGTAATATTAATTATGGCAGATAGATGCAAAAGAGGGCTTGAGAATGCTTGAGATATGTTGAGATAAGTTTTTTCGGATTTTCTGTTGTGGAAGGTTCCATCACTTCGTAGTCTTGGTGATCTTCACAAACACCAGCAACGATAGTGGCTGCCATTGAGCCAGCTCGCTATACAATTTTGAAAAAGATGAAACTCACGGACTTCATTCCACAGATTGCAGTTTCTCCCACTGCAGTGGGGGACGGCGGTGAAGAGCCACGGGTGGAGCCCTCCAGCCGTTGATGTCTCCGAGCCCTTTGGCGCCTGAGGTTTGACACCGCTGCACTACGCGGCGAAAAGCGGCCACACCGCCGTCATGGAGCGGCTCCTCGCCGCGGGCGCCGCCGTGGATGCTGCCGACAACAAAGGCCAAGGGCCCTGGAAACGGCTGGTGGTGGGGAAGTGGAGGGATGATCTGATGCAGAGACACGTTGCTTGATGATTTTGAATGCGCCATGTGCACACAGCTGTGGCAGGATAGGTGGTAATTAGGTGGGATTGGGATTTTGTGAATTGTCTCAAACGCCATAGCGCCATAGTGAGATATTTGGCAAGTGACAATACATAAGGTGACAAAGCGACAGAACACAGTGGCATCCACAGGTATCTTTGGGGTGCCCCAGCACTGCAGGGATATAACACGAATTGCCCACACGCAATGTCGACCTTTGACAGAACATTCTCTGCATGACGATGGTAAAACATCGATGTGAAACACAATAAGACATCATAAGACATCTTGAGAGAGAAGAGCTCTTGCACATTTGCTACCTGTATGGGCCTACTGTATGGGTGTAAAGTAGGGCTTGAGAATGCTTGAAATATGTTGAGATAAGTTTTGTTAGGCCACGTGTTCCGTAAGAAAACGGTTGTCCCTTTTTCGGATTTTCTGTTGTGGAAGGTTCCATCAGTTCGTAGTCTTGGTGATCTTCACAAACACCAGCAACGATAGTGGCTGCCATTGAGCCAGCTCGCTATACAATTTTGAAAAAGATGAAACTCACGGACTTCACTCCACAGATTGGAATTTCTCCCACTGCAGTGGGGGTGGGCGGTGGAGAGCCACGGGGTGGAGCCCTCCAGCCATTGATGTCCGAGCCCTTCGGCGCTTGAGGCAAAACACCGCTGCACTACGCGGCGAAAAGCGGCCACACCGCCGTCATGGAGCGGCTCCTCGCCGCGGGCGCCGCCGTGGATGCTGCCGACAACGAAGGCCAAGGGCCCTGGAAACGGCCGGTGGGTCCACGACAGGGGGTGGAGTGGAGGGATGATGTGATGCAGAGTGAGTGAAAGAACAAACTCGGTTTAAAGTTGTTTGGTGATTTTGAATGCGCCATGTGCACAGAGCTGTGGCAGGATAAAACTAAGAGAGCAGGACGCTGTGGGAGTGCACTTTTTCATTGCTTTTTTTCAAAACTGCAATCACATTAAAGCTCAAGCTACAGATGAAGCTGTGTTCATGTCCACTAGAGAGCATGTGTTGCTTGAAGAAGTGTCCAGGTGTTCACTCTACAGTATTACCTTAGATAAATGCTACTACAGTGTCCCTTCAACAAAACACAATTTCTGCAGAATATGCTAGATGGCTTCAACACAATTACAACATCCCCATACCTGCCAACAAATGCAGTATTAGAAAACAAACATACCCTTCTGAATAAGAGTAATCTTCCTTTGGGGCAATGCCGTGTGTTTTTGCAGGGGCAATATCCAAACAAAATATGAAGTATTCCTTGAAAAGTTGCACCATGCCCTTTGAAGGAGCGCAGTGTGCATTTCCAGATGTCTAACCCTCCTTTCAAAGGAGCAGTACCCCTTTTAGAAAAGTCAATGTTTCTGCATAGTATATGCAGTATTATCGACATAGAGCATCAAAAGTGCAACATGTTTGAAACTGTGAGCACTATTACAGAATGCTCTTTCGCTTCTTACCACTGAACAACAGAATATTGTCCTGTATGGCAAAAAAAAATCCTGTGAAGAAGCAGCATTCTTGGAAAACTGGATTTCTTTTGTTTGACATGTGTACTCTTCCCCTTGGTCAGATCAGCCCAGCCTTCATTTAGACAACTCTCACTTAAAGAAATGTTTTCAATACAATCCAACAACAATGTTTTCGTTTAATCAAACATCTCACTCATATCAAGGGGGTGTTGCACAAATTCAACGACAGATTCTTCAAGGACGACCATACTCTTTCAAAAGACTGCTACATGCATACAGTATACCATATGTTCAAACAATGTGTGATTGTCTTAAGATTTAAAGATGCACATTCTTCAAATTACAAGATTTTTCAAGAGGAGAACTGCCTACAACAAAGGGTGTTATTCCCAAAATATGGTTCGTTGTCTTGGAAGAATATCACATTATGCATTCAGAAAAATGATGTGCAATTATGAAGGACATATTTTACGTGCTTACATGTACGATGTGTTCTTCATTTAAGAAAATATATTGTGAAAAGGGCATTGCATGTGAAAGAGGGTTCATGTTTGACATAGAAGTAGACTAAGACATGACCTATTTCAATGGGATGCTCTACCATTTTAAAAGAAATGCTTGTTGAATCGAGCACTCACTTCAAAGGGATGCATCACTCCTTTTCAAATGAATTTTTCAAAGTGTTTGAACATGTGTTAACTGGTTTGAGCCAACAATGTCAATATCAAAATCAGTTCTACACATTCATTGGCTGCCTATATTTTTGCATTTGTTCAACAGTTTTTTGAAAAATTACATAAACATACACAATTGCCTAATCTGTGTCCCAAGCCCCCCAAGCTTCCTCCAGTGATACCTGCATTTTGCCATTGTTTTTTACAATGGAATCACAGACCCAAAGCAGCCAATAAAATCAACGAATAGCAAGTTTGCAACCCCCAAAGTGGGAGAACTGGCAAAGAGTGAGGTCTAGATGTCTAGGTCCTTCACTTTTGTGTTGTTTTGCCAGCCCTTCAAAAAACCAACAACGAACCAAAAAACAAGAAGCCAAGAAACTAAAAAACCAAGAAACAAAAAAACAAAACACACAAAAAAAAAACAAGATTGCACACCCCAAGGGGGTGGAGTAGTGGCAGAGAGTTGGGTATTGTCATTTTTTGTTTTTTCCCCAACAGCAGAAGCTTTGGGGTCTTCAGCCATACTAAAGGTTTCGGAGCAGACCGGAGCAGCTCCAAAACCCATTCCCCCATCCCAAGGTTCCCAAGGTTCCCAAGGTTCACAAGGTTCCCAAGGTTCCCAAGGTTCCCAAGGTTCCCAAGGTTCCCAGGGTTCCCAAAGTTCCCAAAGTTCCCAAGGTTCCCAAGGTTCCCAAGGTTCCCAAGGTTCCCAGGGTTCCCAAGGTTCCCAAGGTTCCCAAGGTTCCCAAAGTTCCCAAGGTTCCCAAGGTTCCCAAGGTTCCCAAGGTTCCCAAGGTTCCCAAGGTTCCCAAGGTTCCCAAGGTTTCCAAGGTTCCAAGGGTTCACAAGGTTCCCCCGGGTTCCCAAGGTTCCCAAGGTTCCCAACATTCCCAAGGTTTCCAAGGTTCCCAAGGTTCCCAAGGTTCCCAAGGTTCCCAAGGTTCCCAAGGTTCCCAAGGTTCCCAAGGTTCCCAAGGTTCCCAAGGTTCCCAAGGTTCCAGGGTTCCCAAGGTTCCCAAGGTTCCCAAGGTTCCCAAGGTTCCCAAGGTTCCCAAGGTTCCCAAAGTTCTCAGTTCCCAGGAAGAGGTTCCCAAGCAACGTTCCCAAGCAAGGTTCCCAAGAGGTTCCAAGCAAGGGTTTCAGGAGGAGGTTCCCAAGCAAGGTTCCCAAGAGGTTCCAAGAAAGGCTCAGAGGTTCCCAAGCAAGGGTTCCCAGCAAGAGCTTCCCAAGCAAGGGTTCCCAGGAAGAGGTTCCCAAGCAAGGTTCTCAGGAAGAGGTTCCCAAGCAAGGTTCCCAGGAAGAGGTTCCCAGGAACAAGTTCCCAAGCAAGGTTCCCACGAACAAGTTCCCAAGCAAGGTTCCCAGGAACAGGTTTTGCAAGCACGGATTTCAGGAACCTTTTTCAAGGTTCCCAAAAACCGTTTCCCAAGCAAGTTTTCCAGGAACATGTTTTTCCAAGCAAAACAAGGTTCCCAGAACAGGGTTTCAAGCAAGTGTTTCCAGGAAGAGGTTTCCAGGAAGAGGTTCCCAAGCAAGGTTCCCAGCAAGTTTCCCAAGCAAGATTTCCAGGAACATGTTTTTCCAACCAAAACAAAGTTCCCAGGACAGGTTTTCAAGCAAGTATTTCCAGAAGAGGTTTCAAGGAAGAGGTGTCAAAGCAAGGTTCCCAGCAAGCTGGTTCCCAAGCAAGGTTTTCAGGAAGAGGTTCCCAAGCAAGGTTCCCAGCCACAGGTTCCCAGGAACAGGTGCCCATACAAGGTTCCCAAGAACAGGTTCACAAGTAAGGCGTAAGGTTCCCAAGCACGTTCCCAAGCAAGGTTCCCAGCAACAAGTTCCCAGGAACAGGTTCCCAAACAAGTTTCCCAAGAACAGGTTCACAAGTAAGGTTGCCGGAAAAAGTTCCCAGGCAATGTTTCCAGGAAAAGGTTCCCAAGCAAGGTTCCCAGGAACAGCTTCTCAAGCAAGGTTGCTAGGAAGAGGTTCTGAAGCAAGGTTCCCAAGAAGAGGTTCGCAAGCAAGGGTTCCCAGTTGTTCCTGGAAATTTTGCTTGGGAACCAGCTCTTCCTGGGGACGCTTACTTGAGAACCTTTTCCTGCGAGCCTTGTTCGTGCTTGGAACCTTGCTTGGAAACGGTTCCTGACCTTGCTTGGGAACCGTTACCTGGTAACCGTACTTGCAATCGGTTCCTAAGAAATTAACCTTGCTTGAGGTCCTCAGCCACCCCAGGAACAAGATTTCCAATCACATTTTCCGGGTTTAGGTTCGCACGCAAAGTTACCAGGAACGATTCCCAAGCCAGGTTCCCAAGAACAGGTTCCCAGGCAAGGTTCCCAAGCAAGGGTTCCAGAAACAGTTGCCAAGCAAGGGTTCCAGAAACAGTTGCCAAGCAAGGTTCCCAGGCCAGGAACAGGTTCCCAAGCAAGGTTCCCAGGAACAGGTTTCCAAGAAAAGGTTGCAAAAAAGGTTTCCAAGAATAGGTTCGCAAGCAAGGGGTTTCCAGGCAATGTTCCTGGGAACAGGTTTCCAAGCAAGGTTCGCAAGACCAGGTTCACAAACAAGGGTTCCAAGAACAGTGCCTCAAGTTCCCAAGCGAGGTTTCCACGAACAGGTTTCCTTGCAGGGTAGCGGCAAGGTCCTTGGGAACAGGTTCCCAAGCAAGGTTTCCACGAACAGGTCCCCAAGCAAGGTTCCCAAGGACAGGTTTGCAAGCAAGCTTCGCAAGAACAGGTTCCCAAGCAAGGGCTCGAAGAACAGGTTCCCAAGAACACGTTTGGGTTCCAAGAACAAATTCTCTAGGAAGGTTCCGAGCAATAGGTTGCCAGCACGGTTCCCACGAACACGTTCCCAAGCATGGTTTCAGGTTGCTCATGTTCCCAGGAACAGCTTTCCAAGAACAACTTGCAAAGCGAAATTTCGAAGAACATCTGCAAGCAAGGTTGGAAGCAAGAACAGAATCCCAAGCAAGGTTCCGAAGGACAGGTTCCCAAACAAGGTCCCTAAGCCAAGTTACAAAAAACAGGTTCCGGAGCAAGGTCCCCATGAAGAGGTTTGAAGCAAGCAGGCAAAGTTTCCAAGAACAGGTTCCCAAGAGAAAGTTCCCAAGAACAGGTTACCAGGCAATGCTCCCAAGAGCAGGTTCCTAAGAATAGGCTCCCAAGAACGGGTTCCCAAGCAAGGCTCCCAAGAACAGGTTCCCAAGCAAGGTTCCGATAAACAAGTGTCAAGCAACGTGTCCAAGAACAGTTGCCCAGGCAAGGTTCCAAGAACATTGAACAACAGAATACTGCAAAGTTTGAAGAATTGTTCTAATATATAACGGAACGGAGAGATTGAAGAACTAGTTTTGCTTCAAAACATGATACGGCACTTGCACATGGATAAAAACACTAAAAACAGCGTGGCATGAAAGAAAGCAGGAGGGAGGAGATGAGAAGATAATACACAAGAAAAATGATGATGGTGATGATGATGACGACAATGATGATGGCGATGACGATGACGAGGATGAATGGCGATGGAGATGATGATGATGAATGATAGCTGACGCGAGTCAAATGTCATATATCCACGGTTTCATGCCCTTTTTGTCCCC